CCTAGAATCTTGAAGCCAATTAAGTAATTTTCTGTTTTCTTTATATATGATTTACTCTCTGTAATTATTGGTTACTGCATTTGTGTATCTTATTGTCGTGTTGTTGTGATTAATTTGCCAAATTTTTTTATCATATTTAAGTGATATTGTCGTGTTAGAGCTTGCAGATTAGTGAGAAATGGAGAACACTAATGGATTATGCTGGCAATCTGTTTAACCCAAAAAATAGTTTTCAAGGTCAAAGCAATAATTTTATATGACGGGCCACAAGCAACCGATTCAATCCGAAAGATATAAAATTTCGTTAATACAACGTGATAAAGAAGTGGAAAATAAATTCAATGACAGATAATATAATAAAAATAAAGCAGAGAAGAAAGAATTCTTATTGAATGATCCTTGATAGGATAATGAGCCGAACAGAGCTTGAAGAGCCGAACTATGGCTAACTTGAGAGCAATATGCTATCAATTACAATGTGTAGAATTGTAGAGAAGAAAATTAGATCCCCCCATGGTGGTAAAAATATGTCTATTTATAGGACTAAATCTAAGCAACCATTCTCCTTGAATTATGTGTCCATTATGAGCATTTACTCAATTCATCCATTACTTTTGGAAGACTTGTAACAGCTGGTAAATGCTGGAATTCCGTAACTGATGAGTTAATTTCGTAACTGATGAGTTAATTCCATAACTGATGAGTCAATCCCGTGCCTGTTGAGTCAATCTCGTGCCTGTTAAGTCAAATCTCGTGCCTGTTGAGTCAATCTCCTGCCTGTTGAGTCAACCCCGTGCCTGTTGAGTCAATCTCGTGCCTATTGAGTCAATCCCGTGCCTGTTGAGTCAATCTTGAATTGATTGCCTTGTTCTGACCGTTACAATCATTTATTGCATTTATTGATAATTGATTTGTAACTGATGGTAAATCCCATATAATCCGGGATTAGTTGATTCCTTCCTCATTTGTAATTATGAGATATTCTCCCGCACCTGATCTGGGCTATTTCATGATGATCAGTTCCGAGGCTAACAGGCACGGTATGTTCGGTCCCGGGGGTGTTTCACATATCATCTTTACATGTCATTCTTCACTTTTCTTCAAACTTTGCTGACACGTGTCGCCATCTAATTGACCCACATGGCGAGTCTAATTTTTACTAATACAATTGTCCAACTTGTTAATGAAATAATGAATGTATTAAGGGTATAAAAGTCGATCAATATTACGAGGATATTTTGGTTGTTCAACATTTAGCATGGACCATTCGTGCTTTTATAATAACTAGTATCTATAAACGTGCGTTGCACGTTACTAATGCCACATGATAGTTTAAATATTTATTTATATAAAGGAACAATAAAATTTAGTTAATGAGAGAAAATTTATATATAATAATACAGCAATCATCTAAGTGCCAAAAATATTGTTACATTAGCATAATACAAGAATTCAAAATAAATGGACATCATCAGAACTTACACAAATGATCAATTTTAGTCATGTTAAATAGATAATTATGTATTGTAGTTTAAATGTATCTAATGTGATGGTATCTTACCGAACACTTTTTTATAGACGATGTTTTTTTCTATATGTTTCCTTCTATTGCTTTAGTTGCTCTACGATAACCAGAACTCTTGTTGTCGATATTAATATCTCTCTTGAAAGTGCAACATACAGTTATTCGTTTAAGAAAATATATTGTTGAAAATATAGTCTAATATTTAGGATGTTCGTTCTTGTGCTTTATTTATTATAACTACAAAACATAAACATACTGAAAATTATTTTCACACAAATTTAAAAGGATATTCTTTTATTTCGGAAGACGAAAGTTTAATTCGGGGATAAAACACATACTTAGAAACACATTGACCAGTATCATAAGTTCTGCATGTATGATGTTATTGTCAAAACTTCTATATACCATACGTGTACTATTACATAAGTTATTCAACGGATCTAAATTTTCAGTAGCATGACAGACTTATTTTTCTTCAAAATCAAACTATATGCAATGGAAGATCAATTTTAACTTAGTTGACAACAAACATGTACGGTAAAAGACCATTTGGTATTAAAGTATTTAAGTATTCTTCTTGGTTGTAATTGTTGGTATCATCTTCTGCTGAGTTAAAACTGAAAAATATTTTATTTTTACCGTAAAACTTAGTGATCAACCTTTATTTAGTTGATCAACATATTCATTTCTGCTAGCTAAGATAGCTATTTAATGTCTATCATGTAAATTGCACAAATTGCGTTTTAATCTAATCATGAAAATATTTTCCTTATTAAATGCACTACTATTTCCATTGAGGTTGATAATCAAGTGTTATAGAAGAATCAAATCATCTTTTATTGGATGATCTTTTTCGTTTCCGATACGAAGCAAGAAGTCACTAAATGTTGGATCTGTTCTTACTTTTATATTTCTTGTCATTTGAATATTTTTCAATTGAGGCCATAAGTATAATTTTGGCAAGTTAGCTTTTACAGTTTATGCTTTCGTCAATTTTGGAACTACTGATCGTACTTGACAAAAAATCACCTCCCAAACTATTAATTTTTCACCAAATGGTTCATTGAAATCCAATATATCTCTAAAACTCTGGGCGATTGTTTCTATCGTTTGATGCTTAGCCAAAGCACTTCATCCCATATTATCACTTTTGTTTTCCTTATAAATTTAGCACTATTGCTATGATATATTTGTGAAGGTTATTCAGTTATTTGAAGAGGTATATCAAATCTAACGTGAGTTGTACGACCTCATAATAAAATCATTGTTGGTACACCACTTATTCTTATTGCTAACAATAGCATGCCTCTTGATCTAACAATTTGCAAGTAATGCATGACATAGAATATTATTTCGATTCCGCCGAAGGCGTCTACAAAGGATAATCTCGATATACCGGAGTCGACTTTTTATAATATAGTCTTGAAAGCTTATTCTTGTTCAGAATTTAGCTTTGATTGTGCTTCCTCAAACACTTGTATGGCCTTCTTAATATTATACTAATCTTTTTACTTTATGATCTATTTTTTTAATCTCTAACACTCTTTTATGGAAAAAGTTATGTACCATAAAATTTTTTTAACTTGAAAAATAATATTACTCATATGATTATTCAAAAAATAATTCAATTGGATTCTTTTGCTAAATAATAATGAAAGATTTGATTATTTCGTTTTTACCTAAAAAATAATTTATTTTCTATTAATTAAGATTCTTAATATTAGTTCATCTCATGTTTGAATATTTAAGCGTAATTATAGTTTTATCCATCATACATTTTATTTTTAAAGAGTAAAAATATCGATATGACATTCCACTTTTAGATCTTTATGTTTGCAATTAGTGGTATTGACTCGTACCAACCTTTTTTCTTTTCTTTCTCACACATTATATTCTTAAAAACTTTCTTAGTTGTTCTTTAATAATTGGGTATATATTTCTATATTATACGAAAAATTAATAATAAAAAACATTATTTGAGTAGGAAAGCAGTTCAAATATAATATAATAACATATTATCGTAGGAGTTTTTTTTCTCAATTTTAATGCTTATGCAGTCCGTTTAACATTACTTTTATTTTTTCTTGGTATNAGGTGCTACCGATCTTCAGTGTATTATGCTGGATCGATCCCTGTTGCAGCAAAATAATGGCTATTTTTCAATAGCTTTGCAAATGCTGGCTATTTTTGAATGACCAGTCCGAAAACTGGTTAGCCCGTGCTATTTTAACCTAGAATAGCTACCTGGTGTCATTTCTGGGAGAAATTCAATGATAGCCAGATTTACAAGTGGCCATTCAAAAATAGCCTAGTTTCAAAAGTAATCGAAATCTAGCCACTTTTTATGTAAAGATAAATCTGAGCGAAAATAATGTTCAAAACCCGAAAAATACGCCAGTATATTATGCTGGAGTTCCATCATAAGTATACTTGAACTCCAGCATATTATACTGGAGTTCCAGGATAAGTATGCTGGAACTCCAGCATAAGTACACTAGAACTCCAGCATAATATACTGGAGTTCCAGCAAAGTATACCGGCCCAGTATAATATGCTGGAACTTCACAAGTGCTCGAATCTCCAGTATATTATGCTGGAACATTCCGTGTGTTGGAGTTCCAGCATAATATGCTGGAAGTTCATACACAGGTGCACCGAACTCCAGTATATTATGCTAGACCGGTCTCTGTTGCAGCAAAATAGTGNGTTATATCCTTTTACTATAAGTTATTATGCTTAATATGATAAGGTTATTTTTGTAAACCGACATTATATTCATGCTTTTATAATAATATAGATATAGATAGATAGATATAGATATATAGATATACATTATTTATATATTGATTATACATAATTATACACATATAATACATAAATTATGTATATATTATACCTTCACCGGCTAATTTTAGTTTAAACAGTTGGGTGGGCGACTATTTAGGATTCTTCTTCTAAATAGTAGCCCTCTAGAATAGGGGAGAAATTAAAAAATAGCCAGATTTACAAGTGCTCATTCAAAAATAGCCACAGTTTCAAAAGTAATCAAAATTTAGCCACTTTTCATATAAAGATAAATCTGAACGAAAATATTGTTCAAAATCCGGAAAATACTCCAGCATAATATACTGGAGTTCCAGTATAATATACCGGTCCAGTATAATATGCTGGAAGTTCATACACAGGTGCTCCAATCTCCAGTATATTATGCTGGAACTTTCCGCGTGTTGGAGTTCCAGCATAATATGCTGGAAGTTCATACACAGGTGCACCGATCTTCAGTGTATTATGCTGGATCGATCCCTGTTGCAGCAAAATAATGGCTATTTTTCATTGACTTGGTAAACGCTGGCTATTTTTGAATGACCAGTCCGAAAACTGGCTGGCTAGACCGTGCTATTTTTACGTTATTTCTGCGTGGGATTCGCACAAGCCCATTCGGCCCATATTTCATAGTAAAGAATAGAAGCCCAAAACTCCACGTAGCTGACTTCTCATCCTCTTATTTCTCTCTGCAAATTTAAAGGGTTTTGGCATCAAAAAGCAAATTGGAGAAGAAGAAGAAGTAGAAAACGATGTCGTCCATTGGAACTTCAAAGGGTGTTTTAGAGATAGCAAAGTTCGCAGTATACGTGTCAGTTCCAATTAGTCTCATGTATTTGTTCGCCAACAACAACAAGAATCTTCAGAAAATCATGGGACATGTAAGTATTTCTCTCCTCTTTTTTTTTCATTCATTTTTATTGTAAAGTTTCTTTCTTTATGCTTATATTAGTTTGCTTGGGGTTTATTATTTCAGCTGAATTAAATATCTTGAATGTGCCCGGTTTTTAAATTCAAGCTGTATCGATCCGGGGCGGATGTAGAGTGTAAATTGCGCTTGCGTCTGAACTCAATAGCTTTGGCTCGGACTCTGTATATGCGTAAAAAGTTCACTAGATAACTACAAGTAATTGATCTTGAACCCATTAAAACAAATGAATTGTGGTAGAATCCCCAACTCGAACCCATACATTTTAAACCCTGAATCTAGCTTTGGTATTGATTGAATAGAGTCTGAGGAAATGAAAATGGTGCTTCGAAATGAATGATTCTTTTTTTTAGGTGTTTTTTTCTGGGGAAGAGTTAGAGGGTAGGGTGGAATTAAAAAGGATAAGTCTTCAAGCATCAGTTGAATTGAGTAAGTTGACAACTTTGATCTTTACTAACAAATTGAAAATTACATAAAGTAGATTGTTCTGTGTTTGCCTTATTTAGTAGTACTTCTTTAGATGTGAGGTAATGTGCTTGCACAGACGAATATCCTGGAACGAAGAGTAGTGAAGAATACACAATTTATAGATGAAAAATTGGTGCCAGTGATAGAGAGAGAAGGATATTTAAGAGAGGGTGAAAGAGCACAACCGAGATGAGAAAGTGTGGTATACTGTCGAAATTAGAATATCAACAAAATAATATAGAAGATGAGTAGAACTTCAACAAGAGAGAGTTGTTTCTCCATAGAAGACTGGACTTTTTTGGTGTAGATTTCTTGGAAATAACTACATTTTAGATCTTGCTTTCATTTTGGATTTGGATATACTATCATGTTCTTGGAGATTCTAAGGCTCATAAGAAGACTTATACATCTGTTAGCATCTCGATATAGTTCTGCACATGAAATATGTCTCGAATTCTCGGAGATAAATTAAAGTTTATTACTGTTCTTCTTTAGGTGTCTGCTGTTTAAATGGAAAGCAAAGGAAAGGAATACATACACAGGAATATTTTTTACTGAAATGAATAATCTTACCTTCCCATTCTTTTCTATTCCGTGGAACCTTGAACACCTCTAAAGAGGCCACTAGAAGTGTAGCTATGCTAGGGATACTAAGCATGCAACTTGCCTGACTCCTCAAATACTTGACTCCTCAAATACGACAAGTCCAGGCCAAGTATGTACTTCTAGTGGTGAAGCGACTATGGTTACAAGGTTTTAGAATGCCCTGAAGTTATGAGGCTTAAAGATGATCATTTGTTCATGACGAATAAGATGTATTTTCTATTTTTGTCGGTTAGATAGTTGGATCATCTATGCGCCTTTGTTTATCTCATTGAAAATATTTTCTAACTTGTCGATGATATAGCAGTTATAAATATTGTGTCAAACTGATGATGCAGCCCATCTTTAGTGGAATATTTTCGTTCAAACTAATGATGCATTCAGAAACATTTTGCATTTTTCAGTCTTAGGTTTGTTTGTAGGTTACCTATGTTATTTGACACTCTCTCTAGGTATGTTCTTCAGGGTTGTAATCACAAATATCTTCCCTTAAGCTGCCGTAGATAGCTTTCAAGTTAGATTGTGGTCATTACTTTTTTTAAGTTGATAATTATTATAAGCCCGTGTAATCCCCAAGTCATGTGGGTCGAGTAGTGTCAACCCATATGGTGGTTTTGGTTCCTGCATTTATGATCTTTGACATTACAATGGCTGCTAAAGGGTACAACAGTTAAAACACATGGTTGTTGATGACTAATGAGTTAGGCGAAATTGACTCTTGAAGTTTGTCTCTCTCTGTCCCTTCCCCGTCTCTGTTCTCTAATTCTAAGCTAATCACAAGTTGTCAAAACACTTGGAAAACCTTGGGTAAGACCCTGAGGCAAATAGGGAAATTACTTGATGAATCGTAATGAATTCACAAACTGACAAAGACCTATAATTATTCCTATATTCTGTAAAGCTTACAATCAATTCTTTGTATAGATAAATTTGGTAAATTCTCAATCAGTTTCTACATTCTATCAGCTAAGCTGATTCAGCTTCCTACATATTCTCAATCATAGTTACCGCTACTGAAAACTTAGGAACGGATGGAAAACATTTCTCTCAGTATTATATTTGAAAAAAGGAAGAGAAAGCGATGATGTTTCTCCTTGCCTATAGATAATATACATCTTTCTTCACCTTTTCTATGTCTAGATTTAGCATGGAGCAAGCTCAATTTAATTTTTGGCTATTCTTTGAGCAGTTGCAATAACAATGATCATCTCCGAATCATATTTAATGCATCTACACAATGATTATGTCCAAATCATATATATCTGAATGACTTGAGGCCGTGACTTGGTTTATATAATCTTCATGCAACACCGTTCCAATATATATCTTTGTCTTAGAAAATGATATATCCATCTAAAGCTTCCGTGTTTTTGTTTGTGAAGCGTGAATATGTAGTTTATCCTACAGAATCAGTAAAGCCCCAATCCCCCGAGGAACTGAGGGAGATGGCAAAAGAAATAGCTCGGAAGAGAGAGAGGGACCAAGGAATGCGGAGCTGAGAAAGATGACACGAGAACTGACTCGCAACCCACAAAACGAAGAGGCATAGAAGAATTTGTAGGTCTGTAAGTAATGCTCACTAAGGAAAAGCCAGAGGCCCTTTTTGTTAAGCCAACAAATGGTGTGTTCTTGCTTCTTCTTTTCTGTTCGACCAATAAGTGAGTGTTGCCAATAAAACAGTGCGGCAAAGCCATGGATTGTATACTGTCATTTCTATATTTGATGTATCTTCCTTCTTGTAACCTTGTAGCTAGTAAACCAGNCAACAAACCAATCATGAAACATATTTCTGTCCCATTTTATATCACTACTTACTATGCCAGAATGGAAAAGTTTTTTCTTTGATCATGATTTTTCGGACATTTTTTTGGACATTATATATTCTTCTATAATTTTCAAGTATATAAATTTTGTTTAAAAATTGAGTAATTGATATCTAGATGCGTTAATCATAACTCTCATACCTTGAATATGGTAAATTTGGAAGACAGATAAAAGGTTTTTAAGTCCTATTTAATTTGCGCCAAATTAATGTATTTAATAAAAATAGCATCAGTAGTAGTCTGAACTGTCCGGTAAATTTTAGATTTTGAACCTCGTTGAGAGTTCAATATGTATCCATTTTCCAGTAGTTTCAACGGTATTATGAATGTTATTGAGGGGTATGGTCCTCCTCGCCTTTAATTAAAGGCCTCGAGTTGTCGCCTTTAATTAGAGGTCTCGCGTTAGAATACTTGAAACGGAAAGTTTAGAATACTTGAAATGAAAAAACTTTCCATGAAGAAAACAAGTTGGAGGTTTGAAGTATGTTTAGGGTAAAGGTGCAGAGTCTCCTCTTATAAAGACTAGACATAATTCAAGTCAAGGTCTGTATTGTGCATTAATTTAAACTTTAGATATATGGGTTCCACAAGTAGAAATTTCAGCGAACTCTTTTCATGTAACAACCTTTTTTTTCCATACCAAAGTATTAGTCACTTCTCTCTTCGCTAACAAAAATAAAATCATGTGTGCATAACTTTATCTTCAGAAATTCATATTTAAGAATCAGTAATTATAATTTGCAATTACTTAAAAAATGTGTGAGAAGAACTCATGGTTACGGTTTAACTCTTGAAAAATCTAAAACTATGTTGATACAATAAAAGTGGAACCTCAAAAGTTCGAACTTTTAATTGTTTGTTTCTGAATTTACGAAAAACACTAGGTTATTTCTTTTCATCTGTCCAATTTTTGGCGGACAGAGTTACCAAATACCTGTTGTTGGTGGGAGGTGGCATGTATACATAGAATTAGTCGAGGTGCACACAAACTGGCTCGGACACCACGATTATTAAAAAAAATAGCTATTGGAAAAGAAAAAAAAGAGAGAAAAGAGCAACAATTTCAGTGATGGTAACTAGAGGTAGTCATATTAAAATGTAAATATATTATGGTATGCTTCTTCCAAGAAAATGAGAGAAGAAAATTTGGTGTGTTATTTTCTTGGTATTTATTGACTTGCATGAGTCAATGGGTCTTTCTATCACTTAAAATAATGAGTCTTTTCTGAACAAATGGCAGTTCTGATGTTCAAAAGAATTTCCTTGAAGCTTAAGTAGCAGATAAGGCAGGTAACTCTCTACTTCTTACCTTTTTTTTTGGGCACTGAAACTTTTACAATCTTTGAATAAATTTATTTGCAAAATATATTTATAGTCAAGTTATAAGGTTTTGGTGAAGCTCATACCTTAATCAGCTATGGGATTCTTCATTCTTGCTTTTATTCATTAAATAAGGTGCATTTCCTCTCACTTCATTTCTACAATTAGAAGAGATTATTGTGTATTTACTTGCTTGAGTCCAGGATTCTTGAAAATCCTAACTTTAGGAATGAGCTTTATTAGTGATGCAGTTGTCAAAAAGTGCTATATTATTTTCTTTTACATATAGAATTGTTACAGTTTTGCTCAATTACCTTTGAAAATTTGTTAATTATCATCAAAATGTATAATTTGCATTTACTCAGCACTAAGCAATTCTTGAAAAAGAATTAATTTTTTTCCAGGAGAAGTGGAATTTTAGACACATTTTGCGGAAACAATTGGATTATTTTTGGACTTCCTCTTCTTTCTTATATGAGAAAACGGGCAGCCTGCTGCAGAAAGTATCCTACGTTTACACAGGGTCCGGAGAAGGGCCGCATTTGGAATGCGATGTAGGCAGCCTACCCTAATACAAGCATTAGTGATCAATTCCACGGCTCGAACCCGTGATCTATAGGCAGAGGTGGACCTATGCTATAGGTCGAGGGGTCACCAGCCCCCTTAAAGTTAGGCAAAAATTTCATGTATGTTTTTAGAAAGTAGTGATATATTAGTAGTGGGCACCCTATATACAAAGCAGATTTTGGTTGAATAAAAAAGTGCACACCTTCAAATCCTAGGTCCGCCTCTACTTATAGGTCACACGGAGACAACTCTTTTTTCTTTTATGGAAGTCCCAAAATTTCATGAGGAATATTTAGATTCACCTCCAGACTTCTTTGTTGGTTTATATTTGAATCTCATTTTTTTTAATCTCAGGGAAAGCTGAGACTGAGCATATATACAATTCTATCTTCCAAGAATTTGTCGAAAATCTGAAATAGCGAATAGATTGTTGGAGTAGAGACAATATAATTGAACACAAAAGAACTTGCATAGCTTTTACAGATTTAGTGATCAAGTCAGGAGAACAAGTGCCATTTCAATTTGATACTTTTTTTGTAATGGCGGAGTTAGTTCCAATTGGGACTATTTTAGCTGTGATTAGCAGTCAAGTAATGAAAACAGCTCTAGCTGCGAACGATGTATTATTTGAGAAGGAGAGTTTTAAGGTTTTGGGAAATTACCTTTTGGACATTGAGCCTGTCTTGAAAGAATTGCAGCTACAAAAGTTAAACGATTCGCTTGCTGCAAGGCAAGCTTTAGAATCCCTTGAAGCTGATTTAAAGAAGGCTAATGACTTGGTCGAAAAGTACAAAAACCGAGCCCGTTTTTACTTGCTAGTCAAGTGTAGGAACATTGTTGAGGAGGTACAGGATGTTACGAGGGACATTGGAAAATCTTTAGCCGCGCTATCCATTGTCAACATAGAAGTCTTGTCGGGGATTTCAGAAGAGGTAAATAGGCTGCAGAATGAGATGCAAAGAGCTAACTTTGAGGCTTCTCAGTCGCGGCTCCAAATTGTTAACAAGTTAAACCAAGGTCTATCCGATCAGATACACGACCAGGAATTTGCCAACAATATTCTCAACGAAATAGCAAGGGCTGCTGGCGTACCGGTGGAGCCTGCAGAGATAACGAAAGAGCTAGATAATTTCAAGAAAGAGAAAGAAGAAGCTGCTTACCGAAAAGAGAGAGCTGAAGTCTTGTTTCTGAATCAAGTTATTGAGCTGCTCTCTCGAGCCGATGCTGCACGAGATTATGAGGAAGTCAGAAGCCAGTACTTCCAGAGAGTTAGCATTATAGAAGGATATGACCCTAAAGAAGAATACATTCAGCCATTTAAAGCTTTATTTTGCTGTATAACTGGAACGATAATGGTAGATCCTGTAAGCCTATGCACTGGTACTGCCTGTGAAAGAGCGTCTCTCCAAGCTTGGTTCGATTCAGGGGAGAAAACAGATCCCGAAACAGGTGAAGAACTGCAGGATTTGTCCTTCAGGCCGAACCTCCAATTGAGACAGTTAATCGAGGAGTGGAAAGAGCTCAACTATTGCATCAAAATCAGGGCTTGCAAGGGGAAATTGCTTTCTGAAGTGGATGCATTAATCGAGGAGGCTCTTGCGCAAATGCAAGAACTTATGAAAGAAAATTCAATAAATAAAGAATGGGTGACGATTGGAGGACTCACTGAAATTGTCATCTCTAAGCTTGGCAGTTTGCATAACGGATATCTGCAAGATAAAGCAATGATTACGTTGAAGGATGTTGTAGAAGGGCATGCTAGAAACAAGGTGAGTGAAAGATGTATTACACAAACAAATGTTAAAGTAAAATTAGAATAGACTCTGAAATTGCTAATTCCTGAATTTATTCAAGAATTAGTTCTACTTTCACCTAGAAAACTTTGGGCTTGACTTTTCCTATGTTTAGTTGTTTCAAATGTATTCATCATACAGGACTTTAGTGTTTATCTGAAAAAATGAACAATTGGTAATTTCATTTATTTTCTCATTTAAGTGTTTCCACTCTAAAACTATTACTACTAAGTTTATACATTGTGGTATCCCCTGGTTGTTGCTAGTCGTTACTACTGTATGGTTGGTATTCCTTTCCTTGCTTAGTTGTTTCCGAGAACAGTACATCACGAAGTCAAGAGTAGGATGCGAGGGGGTGGGATAATATTTTGCTTATCATGTGGATCAGGGCATATGAGCAAAAATGCACACAAGTTACCCATGCAAAGTCCTAATTCACTTTATTCCTAATCAAATTGTTTTACAGGACGTGTTCGTTGAGAACCAGGGGCTTGAGAATGTTGTGACATGCTACGGAACAGACTCAACCATTTCAGGGGCTGCAATTGAGCTGATATATGAGGTTCTACAAGATCGGCCTGGTTGGAACTTGGCTTATTGCCAGATGCTTTCTCAGCAGTCCAATGCAATCTTGCTTCTCGTCTCGTTTCTCAAAAGTCAGACCGGTCCATTAGCTGAGCAAGTAGAAGAAATCTTGGGTAAGCTTTGTGATGAGGAAGAGGAGAACATTGTTAGGGCTGCTCGAGAGGGATGGTATGGACCACTTATTGATAGGTTGCATCATGGTAAGCATAGCTGCAACACTCTTATATGTTACATCAGCAAATGCATACAGATTTAATCATCTTAATACATCAACCTATTATTCTCTATTGAAATCTTGTATCAGCCTTTGTACATACATGCGTTTCTTAGAGTTACCCCACTGATTGCTTTTGGGTCTTCTATTTACTTTTTCATGATATATTCTTTAAGGAGGTTTCGGTCTTCTAATCATATATAAAATATCCTAGCAAATGGTAAAGAATAAAAGACACTGACTGAAATGTATAAGAGCTCTAGACTTTTCCTAAGAGTGGAGCAATTGAATTGAGGGAATGTTATTCCAAGTGTCATGCATTGATTTGATCCCTTCCAAGCACATAGTTGAAACTATGTTCCTTCACTCATATGAAAGAAAGATGTATTTTGATGTTGATCGGTGTCAATTGCAGCATATATATCTGCTTGTTTGAGTTTTAGGTTAGTTATATCAGTCAATTATTTTCAGGATCGGCATCTTCAAGAATGTCAATTGTTAGAGCAACTCTTGGTTTGGAACTCGGGGATGAAGATATGAAGATCCTTGGGGAGAAAGGGGTGATCCCTCCTCTGCTTGAGATGGCATCTGGAAATATTGAATCAAAAGAACTGTCGTTATCTGCACTTGTGAAGTTATCAAGCTTAAATGGCAATAAGATGCTTATAGCTGCGGCTGGAGGTGTTCCTATCATTTTAAAGCTAATGATTTCATCCCATGTACGTTCAATTATCATCGCTAAGTGCTGTGAGGTTCTTGCTAATCTTTCTTGCAATGGTGATGGAGTTAAGTTCTTGATTGATGAAACTGACAACCAACTTGTACTAGAGCCTGTAATCGCATACTTGCTGGCTTTTCAGCAGAATCTCACATCCTCGGACATTGTTCGTAGGCATGCTTTACGTGCACTATTAGGAATCTGTCAATCTGAAGCTGGACTTGTCAAGTCAGCTGTTCTCTCTGCCGGTGGTGTTTCAGTGGTCCTTCCCCTTCTAGATGATTCGAACCAGGAAATAAGAGAAGCAGCAATAAACCTTCTTTTCCTCTTCTCACAGCACGAGCCAGAGGGGGTCGTTGAGTATCTTCTTAAGCCAAGAAGGCTTGAGGCTTTAGTCGGTTTCCTTGAAAATGATAACAAAGGTGATGTGCAGATGGCTGCAGCCGGTTTACTAGCCAACCTTCCGAAATCAGAAACTTCACTCAGAGAGAAACTCATAGAATTAGGTGGACTGAAGGCCATTGTTAACATCTTAAAAACCGGAACCATGGAAGCGAAGGAAAATGCTCTCAGTGCCCTCTTCAGGTTCACAGATCCAACAAATCTCGAGTCTCAACGTAATGTGGTTGAACTTGGGGCATATCCTATACTTGTAACTCTTCTCAAAGCTAATTTAATAACTGCAGAAGCAAGAGCAGCAGCACTCTTAACTGATCTATCAATGCGAAGTCATGAACTCAGTGTCGGATCCAAGAAAGCTTCTTGTTTCTGTATTGGCCGAGCACGTGCTCCTATCTGTCTTGCGCACGGGGGTGCCTGCAGTGTGAGCAAAACATTTTGTCTGTTAGAGGCAAATGCATTGCCTGGTCTTGTCAAACTTTTAAAAGAAAAGATACACGCCACGTCTTATGAGGCGATTCAAACGCTCTCTACTTTGGTTCGAGAAGAGTCTCCTCATAGAGGAGCCTATGTGCTGCACAAGGAGGATGCGATTTCACCAACAATAGAAGTTCTAAGCTGGGGATCAGAATCTTTGAAAGGGGAAGCTTTAGGGCTGCTGGAAAAAGTATTTATGTCAAGGGAAATGGTTGATTTTTACGGGCCAACAGCTCGACTACATCTTGCGCGTTTAACAGGAGGTAGAATTTGTGAAGATGGACATCTCCAAAGGAAAGCTGCTAGAGTCTTGTTACTTATCGATCGTCAATCCAGATCATCCGGGTCTCTTGTTGCAGGAATATCTGGTTGAAAATCTCCAGTCTTACATTTCATTCCACACCCTACAAAGCGTTGTCTTAGGTCGAAAAGTGTGGCTTTTGATCAAAGGCTACATTTTCTGATAGTTTAGTCCACACGTTTCAGGTGTGGTTAAAGGCCTAATATATTTAGTGAACTCTCTTGATTTTTCATTCCCAATTAGCTGTATGTAATTATGTTCTTGTGTGGTATGTGTTAAAGAAATTCATATTTTGAGACCTATAATAGAAGTATATTGATCTTTGATATTCTAGATTTAAGGATAATTTGTGCTTTCTGCTTCAAATATTTTATACATTGCTCACTGAAAAACCTCTGGAAGTAGAATTCTGTGTACACTAACCGAATCTTTGAGGAAAGACGGTGATGTAAATTGCCTTTCCCTTTCTCCTTTGTAAAGGAAAAAAGAATGTCAATGAGTCCTCACATACGTTAGGAGTGGCGTTATCCAACAATAACCAAAATATGTACTCTTTGCTAAGCAATACATAATAAATAGGCACAATCAATTAATGGTCATTCAATCAACTGGAATAAGCACGTAGTTAAACAAGTAGAGAAATCCAAAGGCCAAATTATATTAAACATAACAAAAAGTTATCCTCCAAGAGGTTCAGTCAAACCCTAGATAAAAGAGTTTAGCTATTCATAGTCATGAGATCACGCCCAACTATGCCGTATAAAAAAGAACAAAGCGGTCGTTGCAAATATATTCCGGTTAACAAGTCCAGAGTCGAATCCCACAGGGAATTAACCTATTAAACACAACTATTGGACTCAGACAAAATCCACGTATTCAATCTTCAGATATATTTAAGTAATAAATTAGATGTTTATTAACTAAGTATTACGTAATAAAAATGCAATAAATAAGAACTAACTACGAATGAGTTGTAGACAAGAATTGGAATGATCTAAGGTTCTGATTTCTCCTATTGTCGGAATCCTTTCCGCTACGTTTCCTATAAATTTGTCTAAGTCTTCTCTATCGATCATGAGCACTCTGACTGTCGTAACTCTCTCCCGAGTAATTACAACAATATACTAGACATATTCTCCCGAATTACGCTAGCTAGCCTTAAGTACAGCTCACTTAGATCGCACCAAGGTTTCGTTATCCCTAATCCCACCTTTATACCCTTCGTATTGATCCCTCATATACGTTAGGAGTGATGTTGCTCAACAACTACCTAAATATGCACTCTCTCCCGAGTAATACATACTAAATAGGAACAGTTCATTGAGGGCCCTTCAATCAACAACAATAAGCATATAGTTGAACAAATAGAGAGAATACTATAGCAAATCTATATTAACGTAACAAGATATTCATCCTCCAATAGGTTCCATCAAAACACTAGATTAGGAGTTTAGCTACTCATACTACTAGACAAGATTACAATATAAAAAGTCATAACCAACAATAGAATTAAGAAGAAGAAGATAAAAAACTCGTAGATGATTCTCCGCCTTGCTCCTTGTTTTTGTGTTCTTGCCTCCAAAATTCTTCTAAAAACAAGTCTCCCCTCTGTTTGGGAGAGTTAGGCTTCATATAGGTCAAGGTTAGTCGCCTTTGGAATTACAAAATTGGCCTTGGGCTATTTTTTTCTTGGAAGCCCGTGCGCGGCCGCGGATTGACCACGTTTGCCCAGTATTCTGCCTGACGTGCGCGGCCAGTGCGCGGCCGCGGATCGACCGCGCACCTGGAGGAGTTTTTGCCTTCGTTTTTTTCTTTCTTCTTTTGCTCCATATTAACTCCAAAACACTCTTTAATATCCTGATAGCCCGGAATTGCTCCTGCAAGGCATAAAATTCATAATTAGAGCAATTTGTTATCATTTAACCTTCCAATATCAATAAAGTGCAGCTAAATTAGAGCGTAACTGGTAGCTAAACTACATAATTATAGCCTACTATCATCATGCTAACAATCACGTTAATAATCGAAAGCATTAATCTGCAAATTAAGGAAGGACGGAAGAACTCGTATGATCCGGTGCTTGCAATTGTTCCAGCCGTCTTTCGCCTCCCAAATAATGTTTTCCCCTAAAAAAAAATAGATTTAGAACCCCTTTTTATACATGGTGGGGATGTGTAGGGTTGAAACTACTAAGTCCTAGCCGAAATAGGAAAAGATTCCCACTTGGGCGCACAGAGGGTGCCTGGCACCAAGCTGGGAGCCCAACTCTGTCTTATGCTACCTTTTGCGTTTTGAACGGTGCCTGGCTCAACCTGGGCGCCAAAGATCATACTCCCTCTAAATTCTTCTATTTTGGCTTCAATTTGTGCGCAATCTTTCCATATCACCTCCGATTGACCCCTACGCATATAAACATCATTATTAAGCTCGAGTCACAAATATTCACACTAAATTTAACCAGATCGAGGCATATGCAAGGCGATTTACGTGCAAAAATATGAATTTTTAACCAAAAATCAGTAAGAGAGTTTGCAGAAAAATGCTCAAAGACAGGCTAGTAGTTGATCAAGTTAAAGGAAGACTACTTCTAATCATTGGTTATAGCTTTAGTTTGAAACTTTAATTTAGTACAAATTTCAGCTGATTTGCAACTCATAGGTATGTGAAACAAGTATCTATCTGCACAATCTCAATCACTATACTCTGTGGGGCACATAACTTATCAATTTGAACAAATCTCTTAAGTAATTAGTTGTAAAATCAATTATTCTATTATTTTATACGACTAGTTGAACGTTGCTTTTATTAGGGAGATGACACTTCCCTAGCTGTTTTTGACTTGTCAACATAATATATGCGTTATATGTACTGTACCATGTTGAAAATTTGATGTTACTGTATAACGATATAGATATAAATTGCAATAACATGATCAAGCTCCCCTTTTTTTAGCTTAAAACTAAATAGTCTTGAATGATTGACTATTTCTGGATCCAATAATGAAAGTTTAAGCAAAATTAACAAGTTAATATCACAATCAAAGATGGCTTATTTTAGAGTGTTCCTTTTATTACTTTTATGTTTTTTTCTCCTTTTCTTTTCTTTCAAAATCTTTAGAATAGAAGGAGCCAGGTGCGGAGCTAGGTGGGCGGAAGAGGGTTCAACCGAACTTTCTTCGCCCGAAAATTATATTGTATATATAAAGTCAAAATTTTTTTTATACATATTAGATGTTGAATCCTCCTAACTTTTTCGCATGGTTACTTTTTGTATTTTTTAAATTTCTTTAGTGAAAATTCTGCTTCCGTCACCGGATGAAGCATGTCAATATTAGAGTTCAAGATAGAATATTGTATCCATTTGGTTGAAAGTTGAAACTTCAGTTTCTCATTTATTTCAACATAACAGTTGTCCATCATGATGTGAGACTATGGTTTACGTGCACATTATGGGACAGAGGAAAAATATGACTTCATCAAATCGAGTCTTATGATTTCTAGAATGGTCTGTGTAACAAAAATGGACCATGCTTACATATGTAAGAAATAATGAGTGCCAAAATGCAATTAACTCATTACCTACTTGTGCACATGAAGAGAGGTGGAGTTATGTCGATACTTCTAATTTATTAGTAGAGATGGATTCGGAATTTGAAGTTTATGGATCCTACGGTAAGCTTAAATTATTATATAAAATAATTGGGCTCACGGTTAGTTATTTATACATATTTCGTGAATTTCTTAATATAAATAGATAATCTATGCAAAAGTTAATTAATGGATTCCTAGGAACCCATGAGCATTTCCGCCATTACTTTTGAGGTTCCACAATATTGAGATCTTTGGCTTCCTTTTGAAGGGGTGAGATGCAGATACGGATCCAATATTTTATTTGATGGTTTCAATTAGGGCTAGCAAATGGGCGGGACGGGTCGAATATGGGCAAATAAAAAACGGACAAAATATCCGTTTCAACCCATATTTAATACGGATAGAAAATGGGTTAATCGACAGTAATATGGATACTCATATTATTCATAGCTTCTTGAATATAATCACTCTTGGGAGAATTCCTAGTCTCACAAACTTGAGGAACTGCAATTTGCGTCTTTACAAATGTAAAAGTTAACCTAGTGGTTATCCATCGATCATCCATTTTTTAAGTGGATAATATGGATCTTATCCATATTTAACACATTTTTAAAAAGTTTATTATCCAACCAACTTTTAGTGGATAATATGGATGGATAACTATTTTTTTTATCCATTACGCCACCACTAGATTCAACCGTCAAATTCTTATAACTGAATTCATTATAATATTTTTGAAATTATGAGTTCAGAATTTCTTACTATTAACTAAGTTTTAATAATTTTTCACGTAGAAATTTTATACTCCATATCAAAAGCAATGATTTCAGATGAATCCGTATCTGTACTATATATCCGTCACTGGTGGGATGTAAGGAAAATTTTTATTTTATGCCTCACAACTGATGCTAGTTGTGTGATGCCTCCTTTTTAATTTGTCTCAACTTTATGGTCCCAAAATTTTGTGGACCCAAATGTGTAAGATATGAGTCCACAAATATATGAGATAAAAAGAGATCTCACACAACTCATATCAGTCGTGTGAGGCGCACCATAAAATCACTCGGTCGTAAGGGATATGGCGGTGAAGCTGTATTTAATTAATATATTCTATTATAGGCTTTTCCAGTTACATCTTATGTAAAAGTCAAATAAGTCTTTCACCTAGAAAGTGTTCTGAGAAAAGTTATATTTTAGTTGTTTTGAAGACACTACCATATAATGGTATAGAAATAACGTACTTTTGTATAAATTTTGGGTTACTAACTTTATTATTCATATATATATATATCCTTGTATCTATACCAAAATTACGGGCTATTGACTTGGCATTTTCAAAATTTCCTATAAATTAGTGTATAAATTTTGACTTGGTATTTCCTATCAAGAATGCCTATCTAATAAAGTCGGAAAATAGCTAACAAGTCCATGATACTTCCTAAACCTTATTAATATGTCCATAAATTTAAAGAAAACAAAAATACAATATCATTATAACGAGTTACGTGCACTAGTCCTCAACTAGCTAATAACCCGTTTGGCCAAGCTTCTAAAATCAGCTTATTTTGAGGAGTGCTTTTCTCAAAAGTACTTTTTAAAAAAGTGCTTTTGGTGAAAAGCAGTTTGTGTTTGGCTAATTAATTTGAAAAGCACTTTTGAGTGTATTTTTCTCAAAAGTGCTTCTCAGAAAAGTGCTTTTGGAAAGAAGCTACTTTTTTCTGCTTCTCCAAAACTGCTTCTGCT